AATTTTCCATGTGGGGACAGGGAGTGTCTACTGCAGGCTCACTATTATTATATATGATTATTTTTAAAATTTCAGCTCTAATAGTCCAGCCATTTCTGACATGGAAGAGAGGGGAAAAGATGTCATTTTGCAATGATACAAATTGTTGTGGCAATCTTTTCCTTGAGCAGCGAAAAATGCTCAAAATTGCCATGTTTTGGAGCAGGGACTTAAATTTGGCAGAGTGTCCCTTTTTGTCAGGGGTCTGCAAGTAAGTGTGTAAGACTGGACTGGAGGATAGCGTGGGGATGACAACTTGTAACTGGGAGTTGTGGACGATGGGGAAAGAGCCACAGACTGGCAGGGCCAGGATACCAGGACTGGGAGTTGGGGGCAATCCGAGAGCCAGTTGGTGGTAAGGGGGAAAAGCACAGATCAGCTGAGGAACTGGACTGAGATTGGGACTGGCTGGGCATCGAGACTGGGCACAAGATCCAGGGAATGAGAGACTGGGAGGAGCCAGGGAAGGCATGGGGGAAAGACTGTGATTGGATGAGAAGCCCAGGGATAAGACTGCTCCTCCCCATGCTATCCTCTGCTTGCTGTACAGAACGGGAAGGGAGAAGTGATGTCATGGTGCCCCTCCTCCTATCCTGTATCCCACCTCCATAGAGTGTGTGTGGGGGGTGTTACAACAGGGCTTGGAATGGAGGGAGTTTGCTGGCTGCTGGTGGGAATGGTGCAGGGCCAGTGAACGGGTGGGCCTCCTTTAGCCCCACTGCACCACCACCCAGAAGCCACCTGAGGTAAGCGGTGCCCAGCTGGAGCCCACACCCAAACTCCTGCCCCAGTCCTGAACCCTCCTGCATCCAAACTCCCTCCCAGTGCCTGCCCCCTTAACTCCCTCATGCACCTCAACTCCCTGCCCCAGACTATAGTCAGAGCCATGCCTGCACCCCAAATCCCTTAGCCCAAGACCAGAGCCTGTACTGCCCTCCCCCACACTCCAACCCTCTGTCCCAGCCTGATGAAAGTACGTAAGAGTGGGGGAGGGAGGGAGGGAGGGAGGATGGAGTGAGCAGGGGCAGGGTCTCAGAGAAGGACACAAAGGAGGCAGGGCAAGGATGTCTGGGTTTGAGGGATGTGACAAGGACCCTATTTTGCCTTCATGCTGTCAGACAGACCTTTGAATCTTACGTCCACTGTTCCTTGTGAGTAGCTTGAGTGATACTAGCAGGACTTGCTCGCATGAGCAAGAGCTGTAGCATCAGGCACTGTCCCACCCCCCTACCCCCTCTCCTTCCCTCAGTACAGTGTGCTACTGTAGAGAAGACTCAACTTCCAGAACAGCTGTGGCCTTCCTGTACCATGGCAATCTGACAACAGCAGCACACAGATGACAATATTTGGGACACATGCAGCTGAAAATGGTGTTCAGCACAGCAACATGTGCCAGTCAGTTTATGCAAGACAGAGACAGTAGTAGCAGCTGTGACGTTTCTCCTCTCAGCTGCTGGAAATGCTGTATGCTTTCTGCCATACAGCAGCACAGGTATGGAAAAACAGTGGGGAAACTGCTCCCCCAAATGTATTAACAGATGATAAACCTCACACTCCTAGCAGATTGCTTCAAAATCCAGCATACACACAGGGTAAGCCAAGACAAACATGCTTTCCTCTCCAGCCTGATCTCCCTAAAACCAAAACCAGACTCTGGAAATACATAAACATAGCAAGTTAAAATTAAATATATTTTCCACATGATCTGCATATGAAAATATAATATGACTATAAAATTAGTTCTGTCTGTGATAAGGTTATCTGCATCTTCCTTTCTGATCTGCAGCAATTTCTGTGCAGAAAGGACTGCAAGGTAGTGGAGCAAAATTCCTCTTTGCCATGTGGAAAGCAAGCTGTAAGCAATTTCAGTTCTATGCACTTTTGACATGGTGCAAATGTCGAATGCTTGGTTTTGTTCTGAGGTCTGCATACAGTAAGTACAGGAAATATAAGCCAGTTTAAAGGGAAGAAGTGTCCTGACTCTGTTGGCTGCATGTGCCACATTTGGAATGTTATAAATATTAAGGAATATGCTACTCCTTCAATTTTGCAGTGTACTGTACTGCACAGATGGGCACTGAGAAATTAAAAGCCAAGATAATTATGTGAACTGAAATGTTTTGCAGGATTTTTTTTCCACCTCTTTTTTAATTTTCATCCAACATCTAAATCTATCTATTCAATCTTTTTTTCTCCCATCCATGCACATAAAGAACTGGTCCTACTGGAGAGATGAAATGCATCACAATTCAAACAAGTGCAATATGGAGTTGAGATGCTGAACTCAAGTTCCTCTACTGCCAGATGTGAAATGAACAAGCAGTTTAAAAAATGTAATTTGTTTAAAAAAATAATTTGGTACTTCTGAGCAATTTGGTGATTTAATGAGCACAGATGGATGGGGATGAATTTATAAATGGCAAGCATTTAATGTATCTGCTCAGATTAGTCCAGGACTAAGTATTATACATCCTAGAGCATGAAGGTAATTAATATTCCCCATTATAGCCATAAAGAACCATATGATCAGTTAAGGAATGCGGATACACGAGTGACATGGAAATTAATTCATAAATCAATTAGCAAATCTTGACCGCTTTGTATAATTAAAGTTATTTCAATTATAGCTTATTTCAGACTTAAGACTCAGGAAATCAAAATGCTTAAAACCAAAACACTTTTTTTAACCACTACATATTTGAATTAATAATATTTGTAACACATTAAGTATCCTGACTCTGTCAGTCCATTTGTTCTTAGTTGTAATAATATGGATCATACAGAACTCATCTTATGTCCCTCTCATTCTACCACTACTCCATGTTACTGCAGTCAATTCAGGATCATTAGTCACCAGTTTTACTGACAGGGCCCTCTCTAGGTGCAGTGTCAGACTGGAAAATATGGGTTATACCCTCCCCCCCCCCCACCTCAAGCTGCACCCTTTGGAATTCTCTGCATCATTGAAGTAGTACTTCCAAAGCAATGCCACAACAACCAGCATAAGTGATGCTGGGGGAGGCCGTTTTTGCTTCATTCATATTTTTTTCTGAGGCCTTGTTTATGTCAGCTCTGCACTGCTTTAATTCAGGGTCAGAATTTAAACTGAATTTATTAAACTGGTTCAAACCTAGTTTATATCAATATTCTGCTCCTTACTGAGTCAAGTTTAATTGATATATTTCAAATTAAGAGTGGTCACGCAAGGTTTGGTTTTGCATTCTTTTAATTAACCCTGTTTTTAAACCAATTAAATCTTAAACCTTTGTAACTTTGAAAACAGACAAGGCCAGACATCGCTGCATTTCTCCCCACTGACTCTGTTCTCTCTCTCTTTTTTTTCCATAGAATCCTAGGGCTAGAAGAGACCTCAGGAGGTCATCGAGTCCAACCCCTGCCCAAAGCAGGACCAACCCCAACTAAATCATCCCTAAATCATCTTGTCAAGCCAGAACTTAAAAACCTCTAGGGATGGAGAACCAATCACCTCTCTAGGTAACCCATTCCAGTTCTTCACCACCCTCCTCGTGAAATAGTTTTTCCTAATATCCAACCTAGACCTCCCCCACTGTAACTTATGACCATTCTATAAGACCATTTTTCTTCCCTGTTTTTCTTCTTTGGCATTGCCACTTTGTCCCCTCTCTCTGAGTTTGCAAATAAGAGGCTTTATGAATAATAATAATAATAAAAGAACAGAGGACTGCCAAACTCTTAAAATCGTATTCTCATTCTCTGTGCCAGTTATCAGCCACTTCCGGAATAAAGGAACTTTGGAACAGCATGATCTAGTAATGACTTAAGTGACCATGAATTTAAAGAAGACTCTTGTTTGCTACTGCTTATTAGGCCAGATATATTGGCTACCCATTGTACCAAATATTGCACAGCATTCCATTATGATTATTAATATACAGTGATCACCATTGAAAAGTGGCATTTGTCAACAGCTTCCACATCCAGGGATGTGACAGACTAAAACTTTCTCCTACACTTAGAATAGGAAATAACTGTGTAATGAGCATGAGTTATCCATTGGCAAACACTGACTTTTTAATGGGGAGCATCATAGCTGCCTCACACATGGCCTCTGAGGATAGGACAAGACGCAATGGGCTTAAACTGCAGGAAGGGAGGTTTTGGTTGGACATTAGGAAAAAATTCCTAACTGCCAAGATGGTTAAACACTGTAATAAGTTGCCTAGGGAGGTTGTGTAATCTCCATCTCTAGAGATATTGAAAAATAGGCCAGATAGACATCTATCAGGGTTGATCTAGATGGTGCTTGGTCCTACCATGAGGGCAGGGGACTGGACTCGATGACCTCTCAAGGTCTCTTCCAATTCTAGTGTTCTATGATTCTATGATTTATTTGGTTTGCAATATGCAGAGGGGTCTGAATTTTCTAATTCCTATAAACAAATGGACAATCTATAGCAGTGCTGGGCAATCTGCGACCTACAGGCCACATGCAGCCCATCAGGGTAATCTGACTGCGGGTCGAGACACATTTTGTTGATGATGACCATCTGCAAACACCGCTCCCCGCAGCTCCCAGTGGCTACAATCCTCAGTTTCTGGCCATTGGGAGCTGCAGGAAGTGGCGGCCAGCACTGGCACAACCCCCACATTTCCCATTGGCTGGGAACAGAGAACCCTGGCCACTGGGAGCTGCAGGGGGCAGTGCTTGTAGATGATCAACATCAGCAAAATGTCTTGCGGCCTGCAGTCGGATCACCATCATGGGCCTCATGAGGCCCATGGGCTGCAGATTGCCCACCACTGATCTACAGACTCCTATGGCTTCTGAAAAAGGTGGGCAAAGAGCAATAGCGCTCTTACAAGCCAAACTGTGCCTCTGTCTCACAAACACTCCTTTAGCTGCAAGTGACAGGGCAGACTGAAATTATGAGCAACCTTTCCTCATAGGCAAAGGTAAACTCTTTTGGTTTATAACCTACCTTTCCCGAGGCAATGGCTTGGGCTCTGGACGGATGGCTGCCATTGAAGAAAGTGGCTGCCTGGCAGGAGAAGGAATGGAAAAATTCAAATCCAAGGAGCCTGTTTTTCTGTGCAGTGGCTCCATCCCCATAGCACCTTGCATTTCACTTTCAATTGGGCATGAACCTGCCCTGCCGTGGCTGGAGAGTGAGGAGAGTTCAGGTCCCACGGCTCCCTGCAGAGATCCCTCCGCTACTGCCTGGGGGTCCGGCGTTGGAGACACAGATGGAGGGGAGCGCGATTTCTTTTTTGTTGACGCGCCTGCTAAAAGCTTCAACAATCCGCCCTTCTTCTCTTTCTGAAAGGAAACCAACATGAAGCATATGAATGACCAACTCCTAGCTGTTATTAAGGACTGAAAATAAACAACACCACTCTATTGGTTTCACATTAGAGGAAAAAACAGTTTGAACTGTTGGAAGTTTGGCAGCACAAAAACCCAGTTAAACAATGAATACGAACCATTATGGTATTACTCTTTAGGTCTAATACACCACTTCCACATGGGAAGTTACAAAATTAATAACAGAGAGTTAAAATACAGATCATTTATGAAATTTCACTTTTACAATAAACCATTGTCCTGACACAGGCATAGGTCCTGGAACTAAGGGTATGTCTAGACTACATGCTCCGTTGACGGAGTCATGTAGATGAGTTTACTAAACATAGGAAAATGAAGCGGCAATTTAAATAATTGCCACTTCATTTACATCAAAATGGCCGCTGTTCTGTGCCTATCCGCTGTTTGGCAGCACAGCGGGGCAGCCTGGACGCACCGCAGTCAACAAGGGAAGCCTTTGTCAACTGCTCCGGTAAACCTCATTTCACAAGGTATAACAGAGCGGTCAACAAAGGCTTCCCTTGTTGACTGCGGCGCGTCCAGAATGCTCCGCTGTGCCACCAAATAGCTGATAGGCACAGCGCGGCGGCCATTTTAATGTAAATGAAGCGGCGATTATTTAAATCACTGCTTCATTTTCCTATGTCTAGTAAACTCATCTACATGGCTTCATCAACGGAACCATGTAGTCTAGACATACTCTAAGGGTGCTGGGCATGTGGCTGCACCCTCTGGCTTGAATGGTTTCCATTATACATAGGGTTTACAGTTTTTGGTTCAATTGTCCTCAGCACCCCCACTATACAAATTGTTCCCACATTCCTGGATATAGTGGCTGAAAATATCCAAATGGCATGTTTTTAATTTGGGAAAAACATAGATTTTTGAGAGCTTGCCATAGAAACGTGCCTTATCTTGCACTTCTGAATATCCTCTGGAAAAAATTCTACCACACACTTACCTTAAACACATACACATTAGAACATTAGCTCCTTCAGCTAAAAATTGTTGTGGGAGAAGAGAGCACATGTGTAAGTGTTATACTGGAACTCTGGGTATTATACTTGCAACCAGTGCCTCCATAATGCAGTGCACTAATAAATAAAATGTTCTAATTTTTAACTATAAAATCATGCCATTGCAAGGAATCTGTTTATGTCTTTGTTATTGTAGATAAAGTTCAAAACATTACCCAAGATTACATTAAGATATTCAGGGACATGAAATTGAGCTGTATTTGGTCATTTGTTCTATAACAGGATCTCTGGAGGGGAAAAAGCATAAAGAAATTGCACTAGATATAGAACAGAAAGCACCTGTCTAGCTTCCAGCATGAACACAGTTTGGAAACATGAGACAGAATTTTATTTATTCTCTGTAGACACAATGTCTTGTGCAAGATTTAAAGTGATGCTCTTTTACATGCTGATTACTGAATTCATTTGTCAAAGAAGCTTTAAAGAATGGGTGGGAGAACACAATGAAATAAATATAAACGTTTAGTACACAGATTGAATTCACTATAATTCATACATAATATCTAATGTCTCCGCTCCTGACATCTCTGATGTGCTCTCTTCTGCCATGACAGAACAATAAGAGAACAGATGTCCTAGAGGCACAGTATGGGAGAGCAAAATGCTACATGGTACCTCTGAACACTTGCTACGGATTTTGTGAGTGAGGGTCTGAACCCTCCCCCTGCCACCGCAAAAGCCAACCCACTCAAATTCTGAGGTGATGAGACATTGTGATAAAGTTGTCTGTATTTTATGGTTCACTCTATAAATTAAGGCCTAATCATGTCAAGGTACGGCTGATGCAAGTACAATCAATGAAGGTTGATGGAGCTCAGTACCACATATGATTAAATCACAAATATTAAATTGATTCACTTGGAAAGGTCAGAACATTAAAAACCCACCACTTCCTGCTAAACACCTTCTCTATGAAAGAATCACAATGGGAACCTCACAAAAAACAGCAGAAAGCAACTTTATCTAAACCTGTAATGATAAGAAATTGACCTCCTCATAATATTAAGTTCCGAGATTCGTCAGGGGGTTGGATACTTTCCTATTCCATGTAGATCACTGGCATAATATAATGACACCAGCATATTGTCTCCATATGCATTTTAAGGTGTATCACACAGTACAATATCTACTCAATGGCTTCAAAGGAACAGTTAGAGCGCATCAGTGAGGGCACTGAGAGCCTTTAACTGGAAGACCTACATGTGCAGAGTAACTACAAAACAGCAATTAAATTTGCCCCGAGTATTTCCCAGAGCCTCAGTGCTCAGAGTTTTTGCCCCGTGGAAGGCACCAGGCGTTCCCACAGGTTTGAAAATAATTACTGGAGCTCTTCTCCAGAGGTGGTTCTGGCTGAATTTAAGTCCTGGCTAAGTGGTATCAGCCTTTCTAAGTAAATAGCCTGGCAAATTGCATCTGCCAAACATTCTATCTTATAGGCTGTTGATCTCCTAAAATGTATTCTACTAGTAAAGCTATTTTTAAGTCACAAAGCACAAAAGGAAATATAATATCTTTGTGCCCTTCTGGAAATAAACCATTATGGAGATTGACATTTTCAAAATATGTTTACAAGATGAACTTCATCACTTGGCATGAATTTCTACAGACAAGGTGTATCATCCCTGATATTAGGGAGGTGGAATGAAAATGGTGACGTGCCCTTAAGAATGATAACACAATAGTAGAATCACATGTAAGCGATTTTTTAAAAATATTTTTTTTAGCCTGATAAGCATTTTTATAAACTTTTTAGAGTAAGCTCTGGGTTTGGCAAAATTAAGAGACAACATGGGTTAATGGATTGAACTCAGTCAGGACTGGTAGCCAAGAACTTGATACTGCTAATCATATTTCTGCCATTGATTCACTGTGTGGTCTTGCACAAGACACTCAGAGGTAGGTGAGCTGTAGAGCAACCCTGCTCATTAGTACAGTGGTTACATTACAATATCGATAATATGGTTTTTGATGAGTCCAAACAAGTCTTTAAAATTCATCATTTTCTCCCATTTAACTAGCTCCTATGAGTGGTGCATGTCTGCTCTCAGACTACCACATCACTTTCCACGTCCTCCAAAGATGGTGCCAAGCTCTCTGACAGAATGAAGGCTGTCAGGATTTGCTATTCCTGATATTTCTAATTTAAAAAGCAGACAGAATTGTTTTCAACCTTCTATACTTGGCAGTTCACCATCAACCTCTCTGTGGCTGCTTCTCTATCTGCAAAAGGGGAACAAGTAAAATTTACCTATCTCACAAGGGGCTGTGAAAGTTAATGAATGTTTGCCAAGTGGTACATTTCTTTAATGCTTCTTTCCTTGGGTTTTTAGCAGCACAGAAATGCTGTGCTCTTCAGCAGTATTGCCTTCCAAAATGGAATCCCAGTAATAATTCATTGGAAGCGTCCAATTATGATGAATTCATTTAAAATTTGGTGTAATAGCAGCCATCATTCATCAGGAATTAATTTAATATTTATAGCTGTCCTGGGCAGCTCTTTCTACAGCAGTTTCCCTATAATTCATCTAAGCATTAATGAACATAAAATGTTATAAAAAGTGTATGCTAATTAGTTGCAGAATCCAATAAGTTTGGAGAGATGTTTTGGGAAGACATAATTCCTTTCTGGAATTAAAATTTTGTATTAGGAAAAATTTATTTTCCTCTGGCCTTCACAGAACAATGTTAGGGGCTCCTTCCTCCAGCAATGGAAGGCAATGCAGCTACCTGAGAAGCATTGTTTTATCAAAGGTCTCTAATGCACTATAACAAGCTTTGAAAGCATTTAGCTTACTTGGTCCAGTAGTCAAATATCCATTTGATGATGAATTATGTTTGATGCTATCAGTTTCCTGAATCTGACATGTTGATGGAATATTTGTCCCTGACTCTTGGCTGCTGTCACCATCTTTAAATTGCAGCTAATGTGTGGTTTGGTTTTTGATTATAATGTTCAGAGCCTGCATGTGCACAGCATGGTGTTAATTTGGGAAAGGTTAATTCTTAATCAAGTAAGTAATATTAGCCCTCACAAATAAATTTTAGTGAGGTTATGGTAAATAAAAAAGTGAATGTAAAAGTGGAGGAGATCTTCACCCAATAGGTATAGTCAGCGTCATAATTCCCAACTTCAGTGACAAAAGCCAGTGACCAGATTGTGCCCCTACACCTGTGTACAGAGGGTCCCCTGTTGAAAGCAGGCCCTGGCAGCAGGATGTGTGACAGCACTGTGGCCCTGCACCTACACATGTGGGGAGGCAGATGTGGGGACATTTACTGCTCCTTGTCCCATATGTAAATAAAACATGATGGGGAATGTGCTGAAAAGTTAGTACAGCTCTGGGTTTAAAATATTTGATTATCTTAAAATAACATCTCAAAATATTTAATTGCTGGATTTTTCAACTTCACAGTAAGTTGAAGGTTCTTCTTGATACTTCAAAAACAACCTCATTGTGGGCTTATTAAACAGCTCTTCTGTCAGCCTGAGGTCTTTTTCTGAGCCTGGGATATCACTATAAGGGTTTTCCAGTTTACAAGAGCATAGTCTAAATAAACACTGAGACCAATGTGTTTTATATAGAGAGAATATATATTTGCCATATTAGCTCAACTCTTGTTTTGCATCCACGCTAAGAAACAGAAACTTTCATTTTAGCTTTCTCCATGTAAACTCCCAGTACTGAATTTCATACCAACCTAGCCTCATTAAATAAATGAGGAAACTTTATTGCAGTTGATAGAAAAATGGGCTCCAGCCAATTAAATTAAGTATTTTTCATGTAACACCAGCTACACCAGTAGATAAGAAAGCCAGAGGGAAAAAGTTTTAATTAAAAATAGTTTCAATGTTATCCATCTAGTAGGTCAGTAAAAACCAGGGAGCACTTCCTCAGGTCAGTAGCTCTAAGCCACCAC